TTGCTCTCAGCAGGAGACGCGGAGAGCGCGCTCAGGAGCCTCCTGCAGGACGATGTCTTCGTGGATTTCTTCAACACGTTCCTTAACTTGCCAGTAAGTGTGTCCCCGCTACCCCAGTTGCTTTATTAAATAAACCAGTGTTTCCCTAGTTTTTTCCTATATAGGACATTAACCTTGGCAAATCACAACCTTGTGGTTTTGTTCTCTGCACTGTTCTCTGTTTTAAAATGACGTTTTCTGCCTAGGTGTTTGGACAAACCCCATTATACTTTCTGGGAGAGAATAAATGGGTCCTGTGTCCTGAAATCCCTCCTCAGCAGGTGATCCTAGCTCTTATTGATTAATGAGACTGTCAGCCAGGACGTGGCTCATACAATATCGTTTAAGGTGTATTGTTTGATTTGGCAGAATTATATTTGCTAAATCTGGTAATCCTCCTGTGTTTTTACCATCATTACTACTTTCAAATGCACTTTGGAATCAGAGTAACAACACGTGAGACTGTAAATCGGCCCACTATATTCATCTCCGGTCAGAAAGCGATGTATTTTTCTACCTCCACATTCATTGTTATGTGCCCCAAATAGAGATGTTTTGTGCTCAGTAATAAAATCAGGGCAGTACGCTAAACGTCCCATTTTCAGCCCATTGCACTAGCTCATACACATTTTCACACGTGGTTGTCTTGGTCTGGTCACGTCTGCTTGAACACGTAACGCAGAGCACAGATACAGCCTGGCTTTCAGCTCCTGGCTTAAATGGCCGACCGCATCCTTTCGGTCTGACTCGCTCTCAGGCAGACAGCTCTTTACTCCTGCGGTATCTTCCAGCGATGCCGGAGGGGACGAGGGGGGACGGGGGGGGTTTCAGACGAGTTCGGCGCTGACAGCTGCCTGAACTCTCTGTCTCTCACTCAGAAAGCGGCGACGGACAGGTTCGTCAGGTGGCTGGCCGAGCACCGCTACAGCTACTTCCAGAAAACAGAGTTATACCTCTATTACACCCTGTGCAAAGAATTCCTGCAGTTCCCAGAAGCCCAAGGGGAAGGTAAACGCCGAGCACCGTGCCAGTGGGAGGATAATGGCTGGGTCAGCTGGATCGGACGAGGTGCCGGGGTGGGTCTCTTGCGCCTCTGTCCTGCTTCAGGCACCTTTAGGAAACCGGGCAGTTTGAGATCTCGGTCAGCACTGACGGTCAGACACCGCGAGGGTGCGATCGAGCCCTGCCACGTGTTTGTCACGGTGCCGAGAGAGATGAGGGTCTCTCCGCTCGTGTGGAAGTACGCCAGGCGTGAACACCAGTGGAATGATACTGGATATCCTTCAGTCTGTGGCTGGCGAGCCGCTTGTGGCGCTGGTCATGGTGGCCTGGTAGCCAGTAGTCTAGAAAGGGGGAAATACAAGACGTTTTTTCTGCGAGTAACGGTACTTTGCACAGCCCCCCAGCTCTCCGCGCCCTGTGACGCCTCGGGCCTCGAACCTCGAGCCGGCGGGCCTGTCCGGTGGGCCCCGGCCGACCAGTGGCTGCTGAGACGATGCCTGGGCAGCGTGAGGGGGATGAGGCGGTTCTGCTCTTTCGTCAGGGGCTCCTGCGGTATGTGAGGAAGCC